GCAGCTTAATTTTTTAAAAGCCTATTACCTAATTGAAGCATTCTTTGTGTCAACTAAGTAGGAATTTAGGGTCAGGGTATTGATTGTTAATAGAATTTTAGTTTTAATCCATTAAATGAGCTGTGAAGATTCAGGGAATGGATTCTCCTCAGGCTTTTGGTAATTAATTATAATGTATTTTGCCTGAGTTGTATTATACACTGCCTGTGTAACTCAGTCATGGCACCAAGGGGTGTGCAAAAGGGGAGATGATCTATTTAAAATGATTTGGACCTCACAGGCCATTTAAATGCAAGAATGAGTATAACAAGCTAAACCCCAATGTATGTGGTTATCTGACAATGTAGTGAGATTAAGAACCCATTTCTTAATAGCACAAATGCTTTGAGGATCGTTTTTCCCATGAAGTCTTTTGATCCTAAAGAGTGGGCTATTCTTGGCCATTAATATAGCAGAGATTGGGTGGGGTTTCTTAAATTTTTCAATTAAGAAGACAATTTTTCATCGTCTTTTTTTCCCGAGTATAAAAAGGTGTTATTTTGCTTTATTTTGTTTTGAGTTTGGTTTAGTTTGCTCTTTAATCATTTCAGTAGTGTTAGTACTTTCCTTCGTTATCAGAACTTTTCATTCAGATTTTTTCCCCTATAGGAGCTAGATACTGTTTTACTTCAAACTGACTGCTTCACCCTTTGGGTCTCAAAATATGTCCTGTTCCTTCCCCTTATATGAGATGCTCACAGTGTTTACAGAGTCAAAGGAACATTACATCTTCAGGCCAGCTCAGGAGGTGGTAAAAAAAGAATGGCTACCACCTTCATACATCCCACTTCAGCCTCCGCCCCCCTCCCACCCAGACATACAAGGCCAAGCTCTGTATCTGGTTACCTGTAAAGGAGAAAAATGGTACTGTTGGAATTTGACAATACCCAGTAACAATAATAAATTCATGAGCTCATCCCCCTTAAAAAACAACATAGCTAAGTCCTGGCTCACAATTTCCTTGTCTATTTCCCATTGCCTGTTGTCCTGTCATTTAGGATTTGATGCTGTCAATGCCAGATCAATATGCTTAAGAAATAAACTCTTTTGGGGGAGCTATGAGTTAATGAAGGGTTCAAGGATAAGAGTAAACCAGTACAGAACACACCTTGTTAATCTATTTATTAATTTTGCATAGTGGGTACTGTGGAGCTAGACTACCTGGCTTTGAATCTCTGCTTTGCCTTTGCCAACTAACTGTGTTCAAACAGATTATCCAATGTCTTCATGCCTCATTTTCCTCACCTATGAAATGAAGCTGTTAACAACTTCATAGGTTGATAAAAAAGAGACATGTAAAGACTTATATGTGAAAAGGATTAAAACTCATACATGTAGGTCAGAAGCAGGACAAAACGGCATGGTGGAGACTAGCATATTTCCGGTCCCTAGAAGGACAGCATAGTGGACAGTGACTCTAAAGTTATCAGCTGGTCACATTTTTCAGATACAGCTAGAAATTCAAAATTCTCATGGAAGGTCCCAATTTTTAAGCCTGATGTGGGGCCAACAACACTCATCTGTGGACCACACACAATCTTTGGGCCATTGTCTGCTACTCCGATCTGTTTTACCTACCAGCTTGCGTCTCTCCTCCTTCACCTCATCTTCCTGCCTGCACCAGCCCAGAATGTTCTGTTCCTCCCCTGAATTTCATAACCCACGTCCTTTACTGCTCATTTGTCACCTGGATGAGAGCAGGAGCTAATTCCTTCTTTTCTCCATCACAGCTTTTGTGTTGCCCTGTGCACAGTCAGGCCTCAGCAAACACTTGTTGATTTGTTGTTCTTTATTCACTGACTCCTAATACCTTATATTACATTTCTGGGCCCGTAGCCCAGCTGCCAATTAGTTCATAACACTTGAACAAATATTTAAGCTTGTTTTATTAGTGACTGATGCCTAAGATGAGAAAGGGAAAAGAGCTAGAGGGGAAACCAACTGTTCTGGATCCCTGTTGGATTTAGTCCTGCCTGCTATTACTATTAAAAAATAATAATTGCTAACATAAAGTTTAGCTTTCTGTTTTTAAGGAATCCACTAGACACCAATTTTATGTCAAGTGCTTTACATGTGTTATTTCTAATCCTCACAGCAACTCAAGAAGTAGATGTTATTAGTTTGAATGTAAAGATCAGAAAATGAAATGCAGAAAGGTTAAATAAGCTAGAACATGTAAACAGCCTAAATCTCCTTCCATGGATGAAACGATCAAAAAGATGTGGTATATACAGACCGTGGAATATTAAATAGCCACAAGAAAGGATGAAATGCAGCCACTGTCAACAAAGTAGAGGGAATTTGAATAATATATATATATATATATATATGCGCAAAAGAAACCAGAATGATAAAAACAAATACTGGGCATTTGAATAACAGACAATTGAAGAACGTAAAACCCTCAGAAACTACTGGACATCAACAAACATCCTGAGGACTCTGAGGTTAAGGCAGGGGAGGGGCAAAAAATGCAAGGAATGGTAGTGAGGAAAAAATAATTTAAAAAATACAAAATAGGGGAAAAACCCACATTCTAGATAAATGTGTAAAATAAAAATAAAACTATACGATTAAATTTTTTTAAAAAGTTTAAGAAGCCTGGCCAAATCATATAGGCAGCAGGTGATCCAAGACTGGAGACCAAGCATGGAGCTAACCAACCCCTGTCAGAAATTCTATTGTGATTGTTTGCTGTACTATACACCCCTAGACACTAAGCTACAGGAGCAGAGACTAACTCTGTCTTACTCGTCTCTGTAATCCCAGTGCCTAGCACAGTGCCTGGCTTGTTATGGGACTTAGTGAAATGTGTTCCCATTGTATCACTTACATTGACTATCTATTGCTGTTTAATTACCCCAAAATTGAAATAATAAACAGGGCTGGGCTAGAAAGTCTGCTTCTGAACTCATTCAAAAGGCTGCTATCTAGAGACCTCAGGATTTTTTTATTCCACAACGTGTGACTCTCGATAGGTCATGTCCTCACAACATGGCAGATGGCTTCTTCCAGAGCAAGAGATGGAAGCCAAGACAAAAGCCTTAATGTCTTTTATAACCTAATCTTGGTATTGCCATACCAGTACTTTCACGCATTCTATTGAGGCATAGACCCGCATTGCTACCATGTGGAAGGGGACTAGCTAAGAGTGTGTGTACCACACAGTGGGAGGCAGGAGCCATTGGGGACCATCGTGGAGGCTGGCTCTTACAGCACTTTGTTGTTAACCCTCTCCGTAACATAGATACCCCATAGCTTTGTCCTTGACAGTTTTCTTCTTACCCCATTCAGAATTCCTTAAAGAAGTCATCTTTCCAGTAGAATTGAAGATTTCCACATCATCACTTATAATACATATACACATATATATGACCAACTGTTTAATTTTTAGAACAAAGTATACCCGATCCTCTGGATGTGGTCAGTACATCACCATGCATATAAATAGAACACTTCTGGGAGTTCATGAGGAAGCACTGTAAATAATTTGCCAAGGAAAAATGATACGTAGGGGCTATGGGCCACAGATTGAAAGGTTGTAGGTAATAGTTCTTTTCTATATTTAGGTCATCGAAATAACCACTTAAACCACATGGAGACGTGCTGGCAAATATATTGAATCAGTGGTATAATTATTTATTTCATGAAGGGGAAGTAGGCCTTTTATATAACGACCTTACAATAAGTGTCATTTTTATATGTGGAAAAATAAGTGCCTGTCATTTTCTTGTTATTCTGAGGTCAGAGCCTACCACAGAGATTTTAATATTTGAAAACTATTCTATTCACAGGAATCCCAGCATTTAAAATAATGATTTTCTTAAGATGCAGCATTCTGATGCACTATATCTGACCTTTCTTGGTTAGGAAAATAAAATCTTCAACACCTCTTGTTTCTTATTCTACTCTGTCCATGTTGTTGGAACTGATGTTAAATGATAAGGATGTATTTTCACTCTCTTAGCATTTTAATTAGCATTCATCTGTTGGTGTAGCTATCTGGAGATCCAGCAGCTTTTGCAGTTACTATACCTTCAGCCAAATATTTGTACTTTAGAAATCATTTAAATAGGTTAACTAGTAAAAGCAGGGTTGGGATTCTCATCAGAAAAAAAAATAGTGGGATATATGTAGTTATGATAGATTTATTGACTCTTATTTTATTAATATACCAGTAAATTTTTAGAAGTTCCTCTTATACTGTTACTTAATGCTGCTGAAAAACTGAGTGTATGCTTTGGGGAGGAATTAAGTGACGAGGTATAGTAAAGTAATAATGTATTCTAGATGGGAAGCAAGTAATATGGAACAAGCATTTTTAGTGGTTACATTAATTAAAGTTGTCCCAGCTTTGGGAAAAGATCATTAGAAATGTATAAAAACTTATTTTGGGTTGGTTAAAAATAGCTTTAAAAATAGTTGCCTTTTTGGTGATGATGAAAAAAGTTCCCAAATAATTTGAGTATAAACTCTGTGAGGATTGGAGTCATATCTCACTAACTTTTAAAGTCCCCTTACTGAATTTAATACTTTTAGTACAGTCTACAGAAAACTATTGAATGGGCAGATGAATACTATGGTAGATGTTAATAATGTAATGACATGGACTTATTTCTGCCTAAAAGCTCTTTCTCAGTCTAAGAAATACTGTAACCCTTAAAGTCTTCTGACTTTCGTCATTGGAAAATATTTTAAGCATTTTTCCAGTGTGGACCCTTCCTTGCCATGTCATCACCTCTCAATAAAAAAAAAAAAGATATGGAATCACATTGGTGAACAAAATGCACTGGTTTTGCCTGGCAGATTCAGTGGTGCTTGACGTGGCAGAGGTCCCAGGTGGGCCCGGAAGGGGGATGGCTGGTGATGCCCAGATCGCTTTGGCACATGGCTTGTCCTGTGTGGAACTCTGAATCTCATCTGAAAGGGATAAAGAAGTTTAGCCACAGAGAGCAGGAAAGGAGAGGAGGCAGGAAGGCAAGATGTTACAACCATGCTGTGTTCTATGAGAAGAACCAAACAGGTTGAAAAAAATGATGAGGACCGAAAGATTGAACAAGATGGCATCAAACCAGAAGATAAAGCTCATAAGGCCGCCACTAAAATTCAGGTGTGCTTCCGTGGACATGTAACAAGGAAAAAGCTCAAAGGAGAGAAGAGTGATGCCCAAACCGCCGAGGCTGAAGCCAACGAGAAGAAGGATGAAGCCCCCCTTGCCGACAGGTGGAGAAGAAAGAGGACGGCCCGGCGACCACCGAAGTGGCCCCAGTGGCGGGCCCCAAGTCTGAGGAGAAGGGCAAAGCAGGCGAAACTCCTTCCAAGGAGAAGAAAGTAGAGGGAGCTCCTGATGCTGCCGCTGAGAAGGCGGCCCCCCAGGCTGCTGCCCCTTCAGAGGAGAAGGCCGGCTCTGCTGAGACAGACAGTGTCACTAAAGCTTCCACTGGCAACTCGCCGTCCTCCAAGGCCGAAGATGCCCCCGCCAAGGGGGAGCCTAAACAAGCCCATGTGCCTGCTGCTGTCACTGCTGCTGCTGCCGCCACCCCTGCTGCAGAGGATGCTGCTGCTAAGGGATCAGCCCAGACCCCGACGGAGACTGCGGAGGGCAGCCCAGCCGAGAAGATAGATGCTGTAGATGAAACCAAACCTAAGGAAAGCGCCTGGCAAGATGAGGGTGAAGGAGAAGATCATGAGGCGGACCAAGAACATGCCTGAACTTTAAGAAATGGCTTTCCACGGCCCTCCCCTCCCCTCTCCTGAGCCCTGTCTCCCCACCCTCTTCTCAACTCCACTCTGAAGTTTCCCTTCCTGTCCTGCTCACGTCTGGGAGTCTGTCCTCTCCCACCCACTAGCCCTCTTTCTCTCTGTGTGGCAAACATTAAAAAAAAAAAAAAAAGCAGGAAAGATCCCAAGTCAAACAGTGTGGCTTAAACATTTTTGTTTCTTGGTGTTGTTATGGCGAGTTTTTGGTAATGATGATCCAATCATTTTGGGAAATTCTTGCACTGTATCCAAGTTTTTTGATCTGGTGTGTGTGGCCCTGTGGAAGTCCACTTTCCTCGCTGTCTCTCTCTGTTCCAAGTGTGTGTGCAATGTTCCGTTCATCTGAGGAGTCCAAAATATCAAGTGAATTCAAAACCATTTTTCTTTTCCTCCTTTTCAATGTGATGAAATGAACAAAAAGGAAAAAAATTCAAAAACCCAGTTTGTTTTTAAAATAAATAAATACATACATAAATAAATAAATAAATAAATAAATAAATAAAGCAAATGTGCCCATTAGCGTAACTTGCGGCTCTCAGGCTCCTTTTTCAATCTGAATATTAATAAACCATGAGAGTAATCAAAAAAAAAGTTTAGCCATATGATCATGAAATAATGACAGTTTATTCCTAGACATTTTCAAAGACTGCACCCAGCTGTTAAGTAAAATCTTTGACAAATATTTTTAAAAATGAGCTAGCCCTTTACATAGATACTGAATTCACAGAAATATTTAGGCTAAGAAATATATAGGCTTTGGAAGTGCTGGACCTAACACTTACCATATTACATGGAGCATCGCTTGAAGGGGGGAGCATGTATCTGGTCTAATTCTGCTTGAAATCATTTTCAGTGTTCAGAGGAGTCATCAAAAGTGAATAGTTTTCACATCCTTTTTCCCCCCAAGATCATCCCCTTAGGATTGCTCAGTGGCTTAAGCCTTTGGAAAACACAAGCAGCCCCCATGGAGTTGCTAAGAGCTTCAAAAAATGATTACTGCTGATGCTCTAGGTAAAAGCCCCAAGTCAATAGTCTCGTGAGCCATGTGTTATTCTCCTTTCAGAGGCATCTTCCAAACCACACACCAAGCAAAATGCAGCATAAAGTCAAAGAGTCCTTGATCTGGAAAGGATCTTTGAAATTGTCCAGTCCAATTTTCGCCCTCTACCCAAATTTCTTAGATAATTGACTCTAATACTACAGTTTAATGAAGACAATAATTTTGACCAAATGGAAAAACTGGATTTGTTTTATATTTTCTTTGTTTCACTTTGATAAATCATCACCTAGCACTTTTCAAAAATGCCTAGTTATGATTTGGGGGAGGGTGGGAGGCTCTAAATGTTAGGTTAGGATATGTCTAAGACTATCTGGATAGTCCAATCAAAATGAAATGGAAGTGTCCATCACTTGCTGTCATCGGTCCAGTTATTTCTACTTTCTCAATGTGGCTGACTCTAACTCCTAGATTTCCTTATTCTAACTGTATAGAAACCTAGAACATTTTTTAATCCCAGACATTTGTAATAAGAGCTGTCCTAGTACAGTGACATTGACAAATACTAATCTTCAACAAGAAATAATAATGGAGTAATGTTACTTGTTTTGGCGGAAGTCCAGTAGTTCTAGGAATGACTCACAAATAAGATTTCTTGTCAGGCAGAGGTAGAATAAATGTGTGAGTACTAAGCTTCATTGTCTATCTTCTATTGCCATTACTTTCATTGCTTTCATGATCATTTTATTATGCAAATAACATGTAAAAGAATGGGAAGTTCTGATTGGCTGTTCATGTTCCCAATATGTAACTTTCTTAAAAACTCCCTGATAATTTAGCAACCTATTCTGGTTACTGTATAAAATCTACATATGTGGGCCTCCCCTAGTGTTGTAGGCAGTTGAGCACCGCGCTGTGAAGCTGTCCGCAGCCTCTGCAGCGTGGGTTTGATCCTGGCCAGCCGGCGAGGGTCCCACATGGCGCAGCAGACCTCTCCTGTCGCACCCGCTGCTCCCCTCAGCAGTGTATTTCGTCAGTCTGCCTGTTCTGTTCCCCACTCTGTCTCTGGTGAATCCTCTCACCCTCCTGTGCATCTGGCCTGTACCCTGGTTCTTGTATAAATAAATAAATAAATCTTTTTTAAAAAAATCTTCTCAGTGCATATTATATGTGTATTATACATATGAATAAGATTCTGTGAAAAGTTTTCCAAGTAATTCAAAGATAATCAGTATTTAATTTTTTAATGTCAATACCTTAAATTAATATCTGTGAGATGTAATAACCAAATCTAGAAAGGAAAAAAAAATAGGGAAGGGGAGTTATGCTGATTTCAAAATCTGACAAAATGATCATCTTTGGTAAAGTCTATTTGTAGAAAAGGTAATTTTAATGAAACAATTTTTCTTTGGTGCAAACCTGTGGATTCCCATATTTGTTCAAAATAAAAAAAAATTTTGTCATGAGTTTGAAAATGGTGGTATCAGGATTTTATGTGACAATAAATGAGTCTACTTTCATATTCTTTTATCAGAGCCTGATCTGTTTGATAAAGATTCATCCTTAGAGAGGTCTAGAAAGGTAAACTTGGTGGAATTAAGATTAAGGGAGACTGTGTTTTCATCTGAGTTAAACTGTGTCCTTCATTCAATAAATTTGATCTTTTAGACTTCTAACCCAGAGTGATTTTTTTTCTCCCTCTCAGTTATACAAAAATGGCAAGTACCTTTTTAAAGAAGTCTTTTGTAGATAACCTATAAATGTGGGTTATATGTATGTGGGTTTTAGATATTTAAAATATTAAATGAAGTTTGCAATTAAGCACTTTCCTATATTGACAATAGGAATAAATAAAACAGATAATATAGATTTTTGCCTACATGTCTAAATACTTAATCAATCCACAATTTTTGCTTTTTTGTTTTTTTGCATCTAACCTGATTATTTCAGAAATGTGCCTGTGAGATCGGAAACCAGTCTATTTTCTTCTTTCTATTTTATATATGATGGCCATATTAAAACTGGTGAAATTTTTTCCTTAATATTTATACTTATTCAAGAGGGCATGTAAATATTATGATTTCGTTTTATTAAAGCACATATTCAGTTATTTTGGAAGACTTGCCACCGTGGGGCAATAAAAAACATGTTTTAGTAATGAAATATACACTAATCTTACAGTTGTTGGGGGGAAAGTTGGCCTTTTAGAAAAGTGACAATTGTATCTTTTAACAAATACCCAACATTTTCTTTTCACACATTGATTCCTAGAATTTTTATATTATGGGGAAAGTGTATAAAGAATGTGTTTTATTGCCCTCAACTCTTTCCACACAGATGTCCAAAAACATGTAGGTACTTCTTATGCCTTATTTCTTACACCTTCTTCTGTATCTTTAGAGCTCATTCCGCTTGCTCTTTTTCTCTTCTCTCCTGCCTTTTACTGTCTCCCTCTTTTGCAGACTCTTCACTGTCTCACTTGAAATTGATTAGAATGCATTAATTTTTAAATAAGTGACACATATCCTTAACTGAGCACGAAAAGGTTGAGAAGCCTTCATGGTGTAGAGTCTGATCCAAAACTAAGTGAGAAGAATTTTAAAAACAAGGGCTGCCCTTCATTAGCCCTCGTGCCCACTCCTGACAGGCGGGGTGCGCTTGCGTCGCCATGCCAGGCCAGGGCGCGCCCCACCGCGGCGCCCCGTTTACCCTCTGTCAGCAGCTTCAGTCGCTGCTTGGACGGTCCTGTACATGCGAGTCTGTCATGCGTCAGCCTCAATTAAGCTCATATTGCTTGCTTGGGAAACGTAACCACGTCCTGCTAACCACCTTTTCTTGTTCCTTTTTTTTTTTTTCCTTTTTTTTTTTTTTTTTTTAAATTCCACTCTCTCCAGTAGCCCGTGTTTCATTTGGAGAAAAGTATGTTCACAGTATTGACAGCTTTTCACAAAGAGAAATGGTATTTAGAGGAAGTAACTCCTCTAGGTAGGTCTCAATAAGTTGATTTTACTTGCTGGAAATATGCTCAGTTAACACCTGAGTCTGTTGTTTAAAGGAGGGAATTATAGGCCACCCTCACTGACATGTTGTGGCTGTGCCAAGCTTGGCCTTGAGTCTTAGGAAGAAATTTTTCTTCAGGCATTTTGAGAGTCCAAGGGCATTCGTGGTCCAGCTTTATCAAATGCTGAAGTACTTCTCGTCTTTCTCCACAGGCTATTGTTAACTCACGCCCTTGTCATCTAAGGGGGTGGTGGTTTTCTTTTTTTCACAGAATGAAGCCTTACTACACTTGAAGGGGGAGGAAAAAAAAGTGTAGACAGCGGCCGTTTATATTTGGTTCACTATTTTGTGGTTCACTGTAAGTTTATAGGAAAAACAATAAGACCACCCATGGCTCCATCTTGCTGGGTGGCTGACTGATCAAGTTGGTATCTTATGAGAAATTATCTTTAAAAGGGGCTTCCCAAAAAATAAGAATCTTTGAGAGGAAGTTCTGTCTTTTTCTCTGGATACCTACAGAGCACCCAACAAGCTCCTTTGTGCTTTAATAGACAAGTAGACATTAAGATAGGCGGGTATCTTGGAAGATTTATCAAGATTATATGGACCTGGTCGTTTTGTAAGTCAGGTTAACCCAAGAAGCTGTTGTCCGATATTTCTCACAAAGCACAGCGTGAAAGAAATCGGAACAGTATAAGTCCCATGAGGTCTGTGGCAGCAAATGGTGTTGTCAGTGAGTGGAAAGTGAGGTCAGTATCGATGATGAGAATGGAGACCAAAAAAGTGTGTATATATATTTTCCTTTTTTATAAACACGCCACCAGCATGAGTAAGTAACCTTTAAACAGAATCATATTGATGACTCAATCCAAGGAAACGGGTGGAGTGTACAGATAATGGAATGCAGATTTCCAAAATATGGGACAGACAGATTGTTGTTGAAATTATTAGCTGA